ACTACTTCAGCACTTACTAGACAAACGCTCTAACATTTCAATTAATTACAAAAGACTCATATACATGACCATAATAAGACCTATGTGGACTTACGGAATTGAGCTTTGGGGGTCCACTAAACCATCGAATTCCTCTCGTATCCAATCTTTACAATCCAAAATCCTTACTTTGTAACAAATAAAATAATCCATAATGACCTGAATGTTCCATATGTTTCCGATTTGGACCAATCCAGATACATATCCTTCCATAATAAACTTCAGAGCCATCCTAATCCTCTCGTTTCTAACCTTGCTTCCTCCTCGATTCCTGATAACCCTCCGAGGCGTCTGAAAAGAAGATGGCCTCCCAAGAAGATCCCCAAATTTAGAAACTTTATTGGAGTGCTATCAATGGGTAGATTCTCTACAAGCCTTGTCATGTCATGTATTTACCTTTATCACATTTGCTGAATGTATATTAAATGTATAGTTGTAAATTTCATAAATAATAATAAAAAAAATTAGGAGGAATTAATAATAATTGAATTCCCACTTAGCCACCATATAATTTAAAATTATCATAATTTATGAGATGTCCATGAGAAACAATATTTTGATAGGAAATTAATATTAATATTTAAAACTTTAAGAAAGATTGCCTTACGACTAGAACAGTTATCCCAAAGGTAATGTGGTGGTATTGATCTGCTTGTTAGAAACAGAAACTAAGGCATCTAGGCACGATAACGTTTTTCTTATTGATTTAGGTTCAGATTATATTAATTTGGGAAATTCAAAAACCTTTCTTTTTTTTTTTTTAAATGAGCTAAAGGTCGATTATTTTCAATAAATTTATAAACATTTCAGGGCACGTCTTATTATTCAGCTAATTATTTTACTTGGGAAATGTACATCGATTGGTATAAACTAACGTGCAATAAAACTAAGGAAATTTAACTAATTATATCTGCTATAATTAAATTCACAACATATTGTGAATAGTTATTTTGTTTATTCATATTTATTTATAATTATTTTTGGCATTGGTTATTTTATTAGTATTTTTTTTTTATTGGATAAACCATGTTTACCATGTTCAGACTAACAATTTATATAAGGTCACAGTTGTGTACTGGAAGTTTCAATCAAACCGAAGATTATTTTTATATAATTTATAAGAGAATGCATTTGAAAATAGTTAATTGGATTGTTTGGTTTTGTATCTGACTTGTTAATTATTTTTTGTAGTTTGTCCTGTATTGTCCTAAAATGTTCTGTGCGTCATAAATTATTAATCACAGTATGTATGTCACTTGTAGTTTTCAGTTTACGTATATACGACTATTAGTATATAAGAGTAGATACCATTGAATGTCAATACAAAGCTTGAAAGTAACAACTATAAAAAAAAAAATATGTATTTTATTTGTTAACCACTGCCTTTAAAAAAAAACTTATAAAAATAAACTTAATTTTATTTTATATTATTATGGACTTAATATCTTGCGAAAAAAATCTAGTGTAGCGCGCATATCACACAAGTTTCACTTACTACCCTTCTTTCAGGAGAAATAGGTATTTTAAAAATCACAGAAGGTACAAAATAATTTCATTTACATAAACTAAATAAAAATACTAGCTCCTCTTTTTTTTTTTTTTAATGAGGACCTGTAAGTATGTCTTTGTTTTTTTGGTTTTTGAGTAATAAATTTCATATTTGATTTTAACATTATATTTAACAATTTATTTGATAAATCATTATTAATATTTTTGTTATGACGGTTTGTTTTGGCGTACTTAATTCATCAAATTTATTTAGTTTTCTGAACATTATTTTATTTGATACCTATTGATTTTTTATATTGTTTTTAATTAGTAGTATTTTTTTTTAAATGTTGTTGTATTGTTGGTTTAGTCTCTTATTTCTGTTCAATTGTTTATGTTTTGATTTGCACTTATATTTTTTTCCGAAATTTCTTCTGTCTTTCTTATACTTTTAAAAAATAATTTAAATTGACATAAAACCACCTAGAATGACTTCGTATATTTTGTATTGTATAATTGTCATAAAAAATATTACTATAATTACTAAGAAGTCTTATCTAGGAAAGTGTATATGAGAATGAAAATGTACATATATTCCTTTCACAAGATTAATATCGCAACTGTTAGTACAAAATGTCGTGTGTACCTATTTTAGATGTTTATTCTCTTTACCTAAAAGTGAAATTTTGAAGTCTGCAACTGCTATAAGTAGTCTGCTAAATAGGAAAATAAAATATGAAATTATACTAATAAATCATAAAGAAATAATATAGTCCGTGGTACAGACTCCTTTATATCAAATGATTAACATTTGCCTGAAACTTCGTAAATAGCTTCTTCTCATCGTAACCTACAAATATTTTATTTACGAAAATTCTCGGAATTGGGGCGTTTTCAATCTGGAGGTCGGCAAACTTTATCTGTTTAATTAAGTACTAAAAACTCGTAAATACCCATTTACTTTCCACTTGAATCTTAAGATAACTTGAGCACAAAGTTGGGGTAAAAGATGGCCTTCAAAAATGTTCAGCCATTTGGCTTGACCCACACCCTCAAATTGTCAAAATAACAAGGTTATATAGGTCAAACAGCCCAATATTTTTATAGGCCACCTTTTTTATCGGTTTTGTGATCAAATTATCTTACGATTCAAACGAAAATCAAATGAGTATTTAAAAGTATTTACCTAATTAAATAGAAAAAGTTTGCTGACCTCCAGATTGAAAACGCCCCAATTCAGAGAATTTCCGTAAATAAAATACCTGTAGGTTTCGGTGATATGAAGCTATTTATGAAGTTTCAAGCGGATGTTAATAATTTGATAAAAAGGGGTCTATATCACGAACTATTTCTACATTATTTCTTTATGATTTATTAGTATAATTTCGTATTTTATTTTCCTCTGCTATTTTCCATGTACTAATGCAGTACCACAGACTAATAGATGCTCTTCTGTAAAAAAGGTCAATTTTTGAATATGACTTTTTACACCTACAGTAGCGTTTTGTCCTAGTTACAGCCAGGTGATCTATAATGGAAAGATTTTAATTTTAATTTACTGTGAATTTAATTTGTAATAATTTTAAAATTTAATAAAACAATAAACTGTTTTAATTACTGAAGACAAAGTAGTTACAAACATATATCAAAGTGGTAAAACGATTCCTTCTATTTAACCGTGTGGATATAGTCTCGGATTATTGAATATGAATAAAATTTTTCGACGGTTGTCGTACATATTGTATTTGGATATCCATTAGATTCTAGTGTAGTAATAGTTCAATGTGTAGTTAATAGATAATAATAGTTTTTTTTTTTTTTTTTTTGCGGCATAAGTGCTCTACGGCCATGTAGGCCTATTGTAGCGAAATAATAGTTTAAATAATAGTTAATTTAAGCATTTATGTAAGCTTACTTGCTTGCCTTTTATTTTTATTTATTAATTTTTTTTTGGTATACAATAAAAATAGAAAAACTGCGAAATTTGATTTAAATTGTTCTATAACAGAACTCAATTGAATGTGACCCGTATTGTTATTGGTCATTATAAACAAATGTAACCAAATATCGACAATTAACAAGCATTCAAATTGGACGTGATATGAAATTTAGCGTAAACCATCGTGTTGAGCTAATATTTTAAAATCGAAATCATAAAAAAAAAATATTCTGAGCAATGATTAAAGTAATTTTTCAAAAATAAAAATCAAGGAAAGAAAGCTAGGCTTTATTTGATTAAAACAAAATCATTTAGAACTTATCTTTACGTTATTATATTATTATCATATCACATGTTTCAATTTTTCACGTTTCTGGTAGTGATATCGAGAAAAAATAAGGAGTAGAAAATTTATTTTTATATCGTCGAGATCACCCTCGTACAGTAGCTCCCTATTCTATGACAACATGCAATAGGTTGACAAACCCTTCTGATAACAAGATAGAAGAGACAAAAAGTATTTACAAAATAACATTTCAAAAGCTTGTATATTATGCATCAATTATATTCACGGTTTCAAAATTATTATAATTCTTTAAGTTATTACTCATCTATCGAATATATATATTTTTTTTTTTGAAAATAAAGTACATTTTAAGTTTACAATTGTAAATATTTTGGTCACTACTGAGACATTTTGAGACCGGTATAATAAATTGAGGTAATAATATTGTGGTTATTAAATTGAAAGTAGTACTTTAAAATATTATGAAGATTTGCTTTATTTACAAACTTTTTTCTACGTTTAACAACAGAATTACCCAAACATTAAATCGAAATTTTTATTTTTAATTTAATTTTTATAATGATTGTCATCCTACCTCACTATAACCAATGTCCAAGAGACAGATTGTTGTAATACTCAATAAAGAAATTTAAAATTTATTTTTTTTTTTTAAATTAACTGGATACCAACGTAAGAAGCATTGATATTTATTACCTATTATCGCAACACATATGGTTCTAATAACTTCGTGTATGGGTACCATAGTTTGATCACAGAGTCGAAAAAAAATGTGACCTACAAAAATATTGGGCCGTTTTGCCTATTTAACCTCGTTATTTTGACACGTTGGGGATGGAAGTCATGCCAAACGGTCCAATATTTTTTAGGCCACCTTTTTACATGGTTTTGATTTTTGATCAAATTATCTTACTATTCAAGTGGAAAGTAGATGAGTTTTTACTCCCTGAATGAAGCTGACAAAGTTTGCCTGTCTACAGATTGAAAACGCCACGATTCCGAGAATTTTCATAAAGGAACATTAGCTGATTAGGACAAGATGAAGCATGATGTTTTAGGCGGATGTTAATAATTTGATAAAGTGGGTTCTGTACCACGGACTGTATATTTAACATATGTGAAAATGTTTTGGTTCTTTGACACCTGGTGTTCTGAGCTTCTTAGGCATGTGTTTCGAAGCCGGTGGACATCCTATGCCCTACATAGACAGATACATTATACGTATGTTACCTATGTCAGTGGAATATCCTGACTGCTGAGCCAGACATGCGGACACTAGGACAGCGAGGAAGAATGGTGTTGTGGCCATGGCGGCCCGGTGAAGACTAACACTTCGGTGCCGGTCCCCTCCACCTCTGCTGGATACCGGAGGCCTAGCTAGCATCTCATGGCTAACGTGTATAGTTATAACTAATATATTTATAGTATATTATATCTACCAATAAAATAGATCTAAATAATATCTAACAATAAAATAGTATAAAAACGAATATCACTCTCTGAAGGATTGATTTTAGGAATTCTAAGTAAAAATTTGAAATAGTATAGTCGAATGGAAAATTTTTCAATTTATAAAGGAACAAATCTGGTGCGGTGCGCGCACAACTTTCACTTACTCTTCTTAGCAGAAATAAGTATTTTCAGACAAAGGGGAAGATAAAGTAAAAATTATAGACGCTGTATCTATTTATATTTCATTGTGGGTATTTTTATTTGTAGCAGTACCCTTGACTATTCAAATTTCAATATATATATATATATATATTATATATATATATATATATATATATATCGCTGTAGTCTTAAACAATTAAATATCAAATAATATCAACAATAGCATTTATGAAAATCGCATATGTATATTTATTACACGGTGGGCCAGACCCCCTTACCGTGCACCCCCCCCCACATCCCTATAAATTGCATATCGTTGTGTTCCTTGTAACTATTTATTAAAAAAAAGCCAATGTTCCCACAAAAAAAGTGAACGCACTGCCCCAAAATGGCGTCCAAAGATGGCGGATTGACGACTTTGACTTTAGTTAGTTTTTTGGTCACTGAGAATCAGCATTTGGCTTAATTTCCTCATAGTTGGTCTTTTATTAAAGCTGAATAGTTACAGAATAATAAAACATGAAGAAATATTAAAAAATAATTGGCTTAGGCTATGAAAAACACCAGTAAAGTCAATTTTTTTAACAAAAAAATTTTCAAGTTACAAATCAAGCGTCGTTTGTAATTAAACGGCCTACAATAACGCAAAACGTGCTGAAATAAACCATCTGGAGAATATATTTCTCTTTCTAAAACGCTGATTATTTTTTACAAATGTTTAAGCAGTTCCGTAGAAAATGCACTTATGCGGCAGAAAAGCGGTACTGGCGTGGGTGCCTACAGGCCTCTACCACACCATTCAGTGCCCATAAATGGTTTAGTTATAGTGATATAATAACATTTTTGGTACATTATATTGGTTTAATTAACGAACAAATATTAATGCAATAATTTAAATGTAAAAAAAAAATTAAAATTTTTAAAAAAAATTTATTATTATTTTTTTTTTAATTTAACCTCCTTTATTCTGTACGTAGGTCGTTTAAGAAGACCTCAATTGTAAAAATGATATAATTATAATAATAAAAGTTAATTAAAAAATACTTTGCTAAATATCTTGATTTTTTTTATTTAACGTTTGCAATTTAACACTGTGTTTACTGATTCTTAGAAGTAATTGAAATTTTTATGTACTTCACAGGAAATGAGTCATATTAATACCTTTTTTATAAACTAAAATAATATATACCTAAACTGAACTATATATAATAAGCTACCGGGTTGTTTAGTAAAACTCATATATCACTAATTAAAAAATTAATTTTTATTTCCTTTATTTTGTGCAGAAGTTGGGCTATATCATAAATAAATAGGAAATTTTAATATTGAATGAATTATTCTCTATGCACAAAGAAAGATAGAAGGGGTGATGCTATAAGTTCTTCTATAAACCAAAACTGATTGTTTGGATTTGATCTCAAAATGAGGAAAAACGCGGATAATACATTAAGGGAACGAGAATGAAAGTACCAAAACCTCGGAATAGATAAAAAGGACCAGTATCCATTATATAGATAAATGAATGTATAGTAAAAAGATGAACAGAATATTTCAAGATATCGAGAAAGTTATAGCTCATAGCTTTCCTTCTGTTTAGTGCATTTGCAAAAAATTTTTTAAGGAATCTAAAAGGAAAACGAGCTTTTCTGAAAGACAGTTAGATATTAGCATAATCCAAAGTGTGAGGCACTAAGCAGATAGAGAGCTATTTTTCTTTTTATGTGGACTTCTCTATATCCTGCCTTAAAGTGAAGACAGTCCCAATTTTCAACTTCTCTTCCAATGTGCAACTTAAGTTTCTCAATCCATATCACTCTGGCAATCGACAATATTTCTTATTCCAGCTTCTACGATTCTTGAGTATAATTTGTTTGGTACACTAAACAGGAATGGATCTTGATGGGTATTACATTTCCTAGTACCTCCTTTCTTGTAAAGTAAAAACCACAGTCCTTTTATGTTATTTTCTAATATGCTTGTTGCCTATGTACGCGCAAAACTATCAAAGCAGTTCGGTTTCGCCCTTTCCATCTTTCTTTGTGCAGAGAGAATAATACATTCAATATTAAAATTTCCTATTTTTTTATGATATGGTACAAATTCCGAACAATTTATTCCGCAATTTCTGAACAATAACGAGCTATAACTAATATAAGATTCCTTAAAAAATCAGAAGGAAAGCTATGAGCTATAACTTTCTCGATATACCTCTCTATATCCTGCTTCAAAGTAAATATAGTCCCGATGTGCACCTTCAGCAATCGAAAATAAAGTGGTTTTCACCATAATAAACCTACATCGTCCACTTAATATCATCCAAACTGCAATTGATCCCGTTTTAGCAGCATCTTGAAATATTCTGTTCATCTTTTTACTATACATTCATTTATCTATATAATGGATACTGGTCCTTTTTATCTATTCCGAGGTTTTGGTACTTCCTTTCTCGTTCCCTTAATGTATTATCCGCGTTTTTCCTCATTTTGAAATCAAATCCAAACAATCAGTTTTGGTTTATAGAAGAACTTATAGCATAACCCCTTCTATATTTCTTTGTGCATAGAGAATAATTCATTCAATATTAAAATTTCCTATTTATTTATGATATAGCCCAACTTCTGCACAAAATAAAGGAAATAAAAATTATTTTTTTAATTAGTGATATATGAGTTTTACTAAACAACCCGGTAGCTATTCATTATATATAGTTCAGATTAGGTATATATTATTTTAGTTTATAAAAAAGGTATTAATATGACTCATTTCCTGGGAAGTATATAAACATTTTAATTACTTCTAAGAATCAGTAAATATACAAAACAGTGTTAAATTGCAAACGTTAAATAAAAAAAAATCAAGATATTTAGCAAAGTATTTTTTAATTAACTTTTATTATTATAATTATATCATTTTTACAATTGAGGTCTTCTTAAACGACCTACGTACTGAATAAAGGAGGTTAAATTAAAAAAAAAATAATAATAAATTTTTTTTAAAAATTTTAATTTTTTTTTTACATTAAATTATTGCATTAATATTTGTTCGTTAATTAAGCCAATATAATGTACCAAAAATGTTATTATATCACTATAACTAAACCATTTATGGGTACTGAATGGTGTGGTAGAGGCCTGTAGGCACCCACGCCAGTACCGCTTTTCTGCCGCATAAGTGCATTTTCTACGGAACTGCTTAAACATTTGTAAAAAATAATCAGAGTTTTAGAAAGAGAAATATATTCTCCAGATGGTTTATTTTAGTAGGTTTTGCGTTATTGTAGGCCGTTTAATTACAAACGACGCATGATTTGTAACTTGAAAATTTTGTTGTTAAAAAAATTGACTTTACTGGTGTTTTTCATAGCCTAAGCCAATTATTTTTTAATATTTCTTCATGTTTTATTATTCTATAACTATTCAGCTTTAATAAAAGACCAACTATGAGGAAATTAAGCCAAATGCTGATTCTCAGTGACCAAAAAACTAACTAAAGTCAAAGTCGTCAATCCGCCATCTTTGGACGCCATTTTGGGGCAGTGCGTTCACTTTTTTTTGTGGGAACATTGGCTTTTTTTTAATAAATAGTTACAAGGAACACAACGATATGCAATTTATAGGGATGTGGGGGGGGGGGTGCACGGTAAGGGGGTCTGGCCCACAGACTATATATAATATTGTCGAAGTCCATATTATATTAAGCTCATGTTACGTATAGAAGCGTCTTTTAATCTTTCGGGCGAGCTCGGATGCGCTTGTATTCCTTTGGTTCCTTAATTACAACCATCCTTCGTTGCGATCTCTTATTTCTCCTCTAGTTAATTATCAAATTCATTCATATTTTATATTTAACTGTCTTTTATATTAGAGATCAATGTGAAATGATCAATTGTTTCAAATAAAAAAAATTAAAGATACTTTTGGGGAAGCTAATATTGAAAATTAGTCATTTAAGCCCTGTTAGAGAACATTAATCAGAACAAAAACTACATTTTATTTAAAACTTTTTAATTTTAAATAACACTGATATAATGAAATTAAACAAAATCGTTAGAGCTTTTTTCGAGAAAATCGTAAAAATGTGTTTAGTCCATGATATAAAATGCCAATTTCGGTAAGCCGATTTTGACAAAAAAGTTGCTGTAACATCCCTAGCATATAAAAACCTTAAATATGCAATTTCATTTTCGTACGACTTTTCGTTTTTGAGGTAGACTGACACACACGCACGCACACACACACCATTTTTAGGGACTTGGTTGTTTGGACTTAGGAGACCTCAAAACGTGTATTTCCGTTGAAAACAGAGATTTGAAAATTTTCACGATCGTTATACTTTCCTGTAGTATATATTTCATGTATATGTAAATGAAAGTAAAAAGGGGGATTAATCTCAAACTTTTATCAGAATCTTACTCATTTTTTAACAAATGACGCTGATTTGGCTAACTCTTTGATTGGCTAACCTATCCTATCCTAAACTCCAGATCCATTCGACCCCATTTCTATCCGTCTTACTTCCTCCTCGATTCCTGGCAATCTTCTTCGGTGTCAGAAAATAAGATGACCGCGGAATCTTATTATTATTTCTACCATTGAGCGGTATCTCGAGTTTTTTCACGCCATAATTCCTGATTATTTCACATTTACTGGTTTTATTATGTATTTCTATAGTTAATATCCCATCCCCAATCATCCT